CGACTGCTTTCCCTCCAGATATCCACATGGCTTCTAACTATCAGGTTTCTGCTCCCATGTCTCTAGGTTAGAAAGGCCTTCTACCTCAGCTTTCAAGTGCCAGTGCTTCCCCTGCCTCCAGCCCTTACCCTACCCGATTCAAAACATCTCAGCACTTCTAGCCACATCTGACAGATTTTGGGGGTGGAGTTTGTTTCACCCTCTGCCTTCCCCAAAGGAACGTCAGCTTCATGAGGGCCACAGTTAAAGTTTGGTTTTGCTTCCTGCTGTATTTTGAGGATCTGAATGGTGCCTGACATATGGGAGAACGTAGTGGGAGCTCAATTAATAAATCCTGAGTGAGTGTCTTATAGGCGAGTGGATAATTTACTGCTCCCCCCACTACTAGTTCTTTATAAAGTAATAAATTTCTCTTTGCTTTCTCATAGTGTCTGTCTTACTTAGTCTAGAGGTTTCTTTTGCTTTGTGACCTAAAAATTCAGTTCCTTTAGTTTTGGATCTTCATTTGGCAACCTTATTTTATTTCAGCCAGTTTTTAATTGATTCAGCTCTTAATATTAGACATTCATGATTATCTTTAAAGTATATCATCCATAAAATTAATCTTGACCAGCACCCTCTTCATAAAGACAGCTTTTCAGCTATGTTAGTGAACCTGTTAGATGGTGTCTCAATATAGACTTTTCAGTTCTTTAACTAATGTTTAGAATCTTAGCACAAACTAGAATCACTAAAAAATAGCTGATTTAGTTATAAATCCTTTAAGTTATAAAATATATCTAATCAAGTATAATATAATAAAAATTGTCTTTTATGAGTATTCTAGAACTGTTTTGAATATGTTGTATTTTCCCTTTATTTATTTTTTTTTGAAAGAGAGAGAGAGAGAGAAAGTTTTAATATTTATTTTTTAGTTTTCGGCAGACACAACATCTTTGTTTTATGTGGTGTTGAGGATTGAACCCGGGCGGCACGCATGCCAGGCAAGAGTGCTACCGCTTGAGCCACATCCCCAGCCCTGTATTTTCCCTTTAAATGACAAGACAAAAAGTTGATTTCTGTTGAGATCACTCTAGTTCTACCTGATTCAATGTTAGTCAATTTAATATGTAGTACATAAGTAGTATCTCAGTGTTTGTGTTCATTTTTGGGAAGGGGAGTGTTGTCGCAGACTTGTATTGGGTCATTGTGGAAAGTGGTGAGCATATATATGTAATTACTTAGACAAGAAGGACTTGTCCTGTACTTGAAGGATAAACTGTGCAGAGCTTAGGAAGAGAGTAATTCTGGGTGTTAGTTTGGGGAAGGGAAGAAGAAAGTACTCAGTATTCTGGGCTTTCAGAAAGAATTGATTTTTGGACATAAGACATTTTGGGCAGAAAAAAAATTTCATTGCACAATGACATAGCGGTAGATGGTATGTTGGGAAATAGGATTTTCTTTGAAAAAAGCCTAGATTTTTGTGGTAGAGAATTACTAAAAAGGAAGTTGGACTAGATTAAGATTATAGTCTTATCATATTTTTATAAAATTATTTCTTAAACAAAATTCTAATTTTTTTTGATTTATTAAGGCAAGTGAGTTTTTACCAGAGACGATGTCAACAGCATTATTTCTTCTTTCTTTGGACATGCCTATTTCATTGGAATATCCAACTATTCACGAAGCCGTTGTGGCCTATTTAGAACAGCTGAATTCTGAAAACTACAGTATTTATAAACGAGCTGCAGAGGCTGTTTATTCAATTGACTGTACCTGTAACTTCCTGTCTGATGTGGGGAAGGAGGTAAGATGTTTGTTGATACCTCTTTTAAAAACTTGTAATGAAGTATTCAGAAAATTTAACCTATACAAGTTAATGGATATATAAAAATTGAATTGCTACAGATGAGATATGTTATTATTGAGTAGATCTATTAGTAGATTAAAGTAAGGACATGATTTGTATAAAAATAAAATAAGTACTTCACATTAATGAATGGTGCTTATTCAAATATCAGTGTTCAAATAAAGAAATATTTAATTACAATTTAATTATTTTAATACTTAATAGTGAGTACCTAAATGAAGTAACTTTCTGTATACAAACTAAGTGATGATTGATGTAACCATATAATTATGAGGACCATTTTAAGGAATACTTGCTGACATTTTTTATTTTATAGATACTTATTACATATTCATACTTAGAACTCTGTTTTTTTTATTGAATGAAGTTATGAACTACATTGCTTATAAAATAATAAGATACTTTAGGTATAATGTTGTAGTAATAGTTATATATTTGTATTTATCCCTTTAAAAAAAACACTGTTAGGGCATTACTTGGTATGCTGTCAATGAGAGGGTTAGTGGGTCTTAAGAGATGACGTTGACTACAATAATGTTTTACTGTCTGAGTATATCAAAATGGATCCTGAAGGTATCGAAGAATTAGAGACAAAAATCCTGTTCTTTTGGACCCTACAGAGGAGTATATCTGAATCTCATATTTATAATTTTCCTTTATTTACTTATTTACTTTTTCTTCCTCCTCCTCCTCCTCTTTTACTTTCTTTCTTTTCCTTTTTAGTACCTTGATCCACTGTTCTATGTCTTTCAGGAGAAGTATTTCTGTAGTACTCTGCATAGTGATTTAATTACAATGTATCAAGTGTCCTGTATGTTCCTACTAGGACTGGTCAGGGTGTTAGAAGAGGGAGATGGATAATAAAGTACCCTCACCCTGCCTTTAGCAGGGGATGCATGGACCCAAGCTAGTAGTTAAAGAACTAGGCAACTATGTTGCAGCTTCCGGCCTGCTGGTGTGAAACTGCATAGTCTGTGTGGTCTCAACCAGGAGTTCCCAGAGCTACTCCCAGTTTGGCATTTTTAGGTTGCTTGTTGAGAAAGTGGATGTACATGTATACAAATATGAACAATCTCAGGGTCTCTGAATAATTTTTCTGAGTTTCTTAGTTAGCTATTGAGAATTTTATTCTATATGAACTTAACATTTATTATCCTATTGTGCTTCTTTTTCAGGGAGAGAAGAATCTCTTAGAATTAGTGGAGCTAGCTGACCAAGCCTTGTGTAGCTTTTCCTATCATCAGCATTTCCCTCTAATAAAAGAAATCATCTGCATTTGTTCAAAGATGTAATATTTTCTTTCTTAATATGATTCTATTATTGTAGGACACTGTGTGTGTGTCTCTCT